AATATATTTACAATTTAATTCTGTATTAAGTAATTACAAATTAATTCTGTAATAATATATTTGTTTTATTATTATTATTATATTTTGTTTTATTTAATTACATTTTATTTACATCTATTTAATTAATTTATGTATTTTATTTGTAACTTACATAATACTCTTTTAAGATATTCAACCTCAAAAATCAATATACTTATAATAAATTATTTAATTATGTAATACTATTTATTATAATATTTAATCATATGAATTATATAATACTATTTTCTGCAATCATTATATATGTATTATTATTATTATTTGTGACATCTGCATAATAGGCCTAAATCATGTCTACATGGGCAGACCATAAAACATTTATAAATACATTTTAAATATATAATAAAAAATATAAAGAGTCATCCTCCATCTCATTTGTATATACATTCACATACTGTATTCTACATAAGTGAGTCATATTCATTTGCTAAATAATTGTATGGGCATTAAGTTGTCAGAAATCCTTTACAGTAAGTAGTATTAGTATGTTTATCCTGCTTAATAGTACAAGAAGTTGAGCTTTTCAAGTGATATTGATTATAGTTCTGAAGTCAAGATGAACTGAAGCATACCAGAACATTTACATTGTTCAGAATATATATTGGTTTTATTAATTATTTTCAAACCTTCGCTCTATTCTAATGCACACTTGAAGTGTTAAACTTGTAAAAGCGTAGTAGCAAAGGTCAAATCTTTATTGTCAGTTCAGCCTCAGTCTTGTGCAGAGAGCTTGTGCATGATCTACGCTGCTAAAATATTCCATTCACTTCTTCTCATTATAGACTTTGTCATCTGAAAGACAGAAAACCCTCTACAGGAGTGAACTTTTCATCTCTCAAGGACTAATCTTTGAACGGCACATGTGTGCATCTGCAATCTAATTTATCACTGCCTACCTGAAAGTGTCTAAAGACTTATGATCATGGAAGAGCACAGGTGTGACACACTGGCTCTCTGCTGGAGGGCAAGAGCGCTTGGAATTAAATGCAGCGCTATATGATACACCGCTCAGCTGCATCTGAAAACACCCTGG